CCCAGCACCATTTATTGAAGAGACTGTCTTTCTTCCAGTGGATCGTCTTTCCTCCTTTATCGAATATTAGTTGACCATAAAGTTCAGGGTCCACTTCTGGGTTCTCTATTCTGTTCCATTGATCTATGTGTCTGTTTTTGTGCCAGTACCACACTGTCTTGATGACCACAGCTTTGTAGTACAACCTGAAATCTGGCACTGTGATGCCCCCAGATATGGTTTTCTTTTTTAAAATTCCCCTGGCTATTCGGGGTCTTTTCTGATTCCACACAAATCTTAAAATAATTTGTTCTAACTCTCTGAAGAAAGTCCATGGTATTTTGATAGGGATTGCATTAAACGTGTAAATTGCCCTGGGTAACATTGACATTTTCACAATATTAATTCTGCCAATCCATGAGCATGGAATATTTTTCCATCTCTTTGTGTCTTCCTCAATTTCTTTCAGAAGTGTTCTATAGTTTTTAGGGTATAGATCCTTTACCTCTTTGGTTAGGTTTATTCCTAGGTATCTTATGCTTTTGGGTGCAATTGTAAATGGGATTGACTCCTTAATTTCTCTTTCTTCAGTCTCATTGTTAGTGAATAGGAATGCCACTGACTTCTGGGCATTGATTTTGTATCCTGCCACACTGCCAAATTGCTGTATGAGTTCTAGCAATCTTGGGGTGGAGGCTTTTGGTTTTTCTATGTAGAGTATCATGTCATCGGCGAAGAGGGAGAGTTTGACTTCTTCTTTGCCAATTTGAATGCCTTTAATGTCTTTTTGTTGTCTGATTGCTGAGGCTAGGACTTCCAATACTATGTTGAATAGCAGTGGTGAGAGTGGACATCCCTGTCTTGTTCCTGATCTTAGGGGAACGGCTCCCAGTGCTTCCCCATTGAGAATGATATTTGCTGTGGGCTTTTCGTAGATGGCTTTTAAGATGTCGAGGAAAGTTCCCTCTATCCCTACACTCTGAAGAGTTTTGATCAGGAATGGATGCTGTATTTTGTCAAATGCTTTCTCTGCATCTAATGAGAGGATCATATGGTTCTTGGTTTTTCTCTTGCTGATATGATGAATCACATTGATTGTTTTACGAGTGTTGAACCAGCCTTGTGTCCCGGGGATAAATCCTACTTGGTCATGGTGAATAATTTTCTTAATGTGTTGTTGGATCCTATTGGCTAGTATCTTGTTGAGAATTTTTGCATCCATGTTCATCAGGGATATTGGTCTGTAATTCTCCTTTTTGGTAGGGTCTTTGTCTGGTTTTGGAATTAAGGTGATGCTGGCCTCATAGAATGAATTTGGAAGTACTCCATCTCTTTCTATCTTTCCAAACAGCTTTAGTAGAATAGGTATGATTACTTCTTTAAACGTTTGATAGAATTCCCCTGGGAAGCCATCTGGCCCTGGACTCTTGTGTCTTGGGAGGTTTTTGATGACTTCTTCAATTTCCTCCCTGGTTATTGGCCTGTTCAGGTTTTCTATTTCTTCCTGTTCCAGTTTTGGTAGTTTGTGGCTTTCCAGGAATGCGTCCATTTCTTCTAGATTGCCTAATTTATTGGCGTAGAGCTGTTCATAATATGTTTTTAAAATCGTTTGTATTTCCTTGGTGTTGGTAGTGATCTCTCCTTTCTCATTCATGATTTTATTAATTTGAGTCTTCTCTCTCTTCTTTTTAATAAGGTTGGCTAATGGTTTATCTATCTTATTAATTCTTTCAAAGAACCAACTCCTGGTTCTATTGATCTGTTCCACAGTTTTTCTGGTCTCAATTTCGTTGAGTTCTGCTCGAATTTTAATTAACTCTCTTCTTCTGCTGGGCGTCGGGTCCATTTCCTGTTTTTTCTTTAGCTCCTTTATGTGTAAGGTTAGCTTTTGTATTTGAGTTCTTTCCAGTTTTTGAATGGATGCTTGTATTGTGATGTATTTCCCCCTCAGGACTGCTTTTGCTGCATCCCAAAGATTTTGAACAGTTGAATCTTCATTCTCATTAGTTTCCATGAATCTTTTTAATTCTTCCTTAATTTCCTGGTTGACCCTTTTATCTTTTAGCAGGATGGTCCTTAACCTCCACGTGTTTGATGTCCTTCCAAAGTTCTTGTTGTCATTTAGTTCTAATTTCAAGGCGTTATGGTCTGAGAATATGCAGGGGACGATCCCAATCTTTTGGTATCGGTTCAGATCCGATTTGTGACCCAGTATGTGGTCTATTCTGGAGAAAGTTCCATGTGCACTTGAGAAGAATGTGTATTCAGTTGAGTTTGGATGTAAAGTTCTGTAGATATCTGTGAAATCTATCTGGTCTAGTGTATCATTTAAAGCTCTCGTTTCTTTGGAGATGTTGTGCTTAGAAGACCTATCGAGGGTAGAAAGAGCTAGATTGAAGTCACCAAGTATAAGTGTATTATTATCTAAGTATTTCTTCACTTTGGTTAATAATTCGTTTAAGTATTTGGCAGCTCCCACATTCGGGGCATATATATTGAGGATTGTTAAGTCCTCTTGCTGGATAGATCCTTTAAGTATGATATAGTGTCCCTCTTCATCTCTCACTACTGTCTTCGGGGTAAATTTTAGTTTATCTGATATAAGGATGGCTACCCCTGCTTTCTTTTGAGAACCATTTGAATGGTAAATGGTTCTCCAACCTTTTATTTTCAGGTTGTAGGTGTCCTTCTGTCTAAAATGAGTCTCTTGTAGACAGCAAATAGATGGGTCCTGCTTTTTTATCCAGTCTGAAACCCTGCGCCTTTTGATGGGGTCATTAAGCCCGTTCACGTTCAGAGTTACTATTGACAGATATGAGTTTAGTTTCATCATGATATCTATTTAGTCCTTGTTTTTGTGGATTGTTCCACTGAACTTCTTCTTAAAGGGGAATTTTAAGAGTCCCCCTTAAAATTTCTTGCAGAGCTGGTTTGGAGGTCACATATTCTTTCAGTTCCTGCCTGTCTTGGAAGCTCTTTATCTCTCCTTCCATTTTGAATGAGAGCCTTGCTGGATAAAGTATTCTTGGTTGCATGTTCTTCTTTTAGGACCCTGAATATATCCTGCCAGCCCTTTTTGGCCTGCCACGTCTCTGTGGAGAGGTCTGCTGTTACCCTAATCTTCTTCCCCATGAAAGTCAGGGACTTCTTGTCTCTTGCTGCTTTAAGGATCTTCTCTTTATCTTTGGAATTTGCAAGCTTCACTATTAAATGTCGAGGTGTTGAACGGTTTTTATTGATTTTAGGGGGGGATCTCTCTATTTCCTGGATCTGAATGCCTGTTTCCCTTCCCAGATTGGGAAAGTTTTCAGCTAAGATTTGTTCAAATACATATTCTGGCCCTCTGTCCCTTTTGGCGCCGTCAGGAACCCCAATTACACGTAGGTTTTTCTTCCTTAGGCTGTCATTTATTTCCCTTAATCTGTCTTCATGGTCCTTTAATTGTCTCTTTTTTCCTCAGTTTCCCTCTTTGCCATTAACTTGTCTTCTATGTCACTCATTCGTTCTTCCACCTCATTCACCCTCGTCGTTAGGACTTCTAGTTTGGATTGCATCTCATTCAATTGATTTTTAATTTCTGCCTGATTGGATCTAAATTCTGCAGTCATGAAGTCTCATGAGTCCTTAATGCTCTTTTCTAGAGCCACCAGTAGCTGTATAATAGTGCTTCTGAATTGGCTTTCTGACATTGAATTGTAATCCAGATTTTGTAACTCTGTGGGAGAGAGGGCTGTTTCTGATTCTTTCTTTTGAGGTGAGGTTTTCCTTCTAGTCATTTTGCTCAGTGCAGAGTGGCCAAAAACAAGTTGTATTTGGAAAAGGAGAGAAAGAGAGAGAAGAAAAGGAAAGAGAAAAAGAAAAAAGAAAAAGAAAAGAAAAGGAAAAAAAGAGAAGAAAAAGAGAAAGAAAAATTAAGAAACGTGAAAAAAAGGGGGGGTGGGGGAAGCAATCAGAAATCAAAAAGAAAAGAAAAAAGAAAAAACAAACAAACAACAACAAAAAAAAAAACACGGGGGAGTATCTTCTGAATCTGTAGACTTTAAATCCCTTGACTTCCCCTGGAACTGGTCCGTCCAGCTGGTCTTCTGGGGGAGGGGCCTGCTGTGCTGATTTTCAGGTGTTAGCACTTGGGGGAGCTGCTCTGCCCCTGCCTGCTGCAGGGCTCAGCGGGGGTTGTTTACCCTGTGAGGCCCCAGGAGGAACAGCCGCAGTGGCGGGGCCAGCTCTGGAGCCCTGGAGTCAGCTCCCGCAGGAACTACGGGGCTCTCCGTCTGCAGGGCCTGGAGGCTCCGGGGCGGGGCCGCTGATCTGCTCAGCTCCGGGCAGGAGCGTCCTCGCTGTCCTGGGCCCTCCCGGCCTCTGCCTGTCCCGGGGGAGGCCGGATCCTGGGCTGTGTCCCGGCGCCCTGTGCTCCGGGGCCTGCGCTGGTGGATTCGCGCTCCCGCCCCGCAGCCCCCTCCGCGGAGCCGCCGCCCGAGCCCCTCCGAGCTGCTCCGGCCCAGCCGTGCGCGCTGCAGCCCTTAGGGAGCTCGGCGCACTCTCCCGGGGCGCAGGTGTCTGTTAGTGTCCCCGGGAGCCCGAGGGCATCCCCGCCCTCCTGGGTCCTGCTCCAACTCCCTGCGAGCCCCTTTCCGCCCGCCCGGGAAGGTTGGTGCAGCTCCTGCTCCTCCGGGACGGGGCTCTCCTGTCCTGGGGACACTCGCCCCGGCCTCAGCCCGGCTCCTCGCGGGGCCCCTCCCCCTCGGAGGCCTTTTGTTTCTTTATTTCTTTTTCCCCGTCTTCCTACCTTGATAGAAGCGTGAACTCTTCTCACTGTAGCGTTCCAGCTGGTCTCTCTTTAAATCTCAGGCCGAATTCGTAGATTGTCAGGATGATTTGAAGGTTATCTAGGTAATTTGTTGGGGACAGGTGATTTGGGGCCCCTACTCTTCCGCCATCTTGCCCCTCCTCTCTCCATAATGCACTTAATTTACAATATATTCCAATTTATGCAATGATTTAAACGTTTTTCCTTTTTTTAGATGTTTTTCCAATGTTAAAACAATTTGTGTTTATAGTAGACCAGATTTCAGACATTCTGACGATGACCCACATCCCACATTAACAAATGTTTAATCATGTGAACCAATATACAGCTTTGTGGGTATGTGTGAGTATTAAAAAGCAACATATACATATATATATATTTGTTGCCAAAGTTTGAAAAAACACTGCTCTAGACCACAGTAGTGCCAAGCCATAGGCATTACTAGATAGTAGATAAAAATCAAGGAATAGGAAACAGGTTAATTAGGGCACAGCTAGGCATTATGAGTGTTAACCTAGACAATGATCCTGAAAACCTAAAGTTCACATGTAGTAGAACTGATGTATAAAGTTGAAAACAGGAGGAAAAAAGACAACCACACTCACAGAAATAATAAGGGCCAATATATGTGATAGAGGTAGCAAGTAAATACTCAAAATTTGGTTAACCAAAGTGCTCAACTAACAAATCCTTTAGGTAATAGGAAATAGAAATGCCAGATTTCATAGGTTAAGAGAAATTAGATATTTAGATGGCCAAAGCAAAGAATATCAGAAAATTGAGGTGTGGGGAACTAAAAATATAGGAATATTTGCTTCTGCCTCGTAAGGGCAGGTTTCATGGTTCATGAGCAGTGTAGTTAGCCAGAGCTCTGTGTTCACAGCTGTACTTGATTAAATGCTTTGCTAACAATGTCTTGAAAATCTCAATATTTTTCTTTCTTAGAGAGAGTGCATGTGTGCGAGTGGCAGGGGAGGGACAGAGAGAGAGAGAGAGAATCTTAAGCAGGTTCCATACTCAGCACAGAGCCTGATGTGAGGCTTAATCTCATGACCCTGAGATCATGACCTGCGCCTAAATCAAGAGCTGGACATTTAATTAGCTGAGCCACTCAGACACCCCTTCAATAAATTTACTTTTGAACTTTAGTAAGTGAATCCAATGGAACTGTGGAGTATGCATGTGAATAGAAAGTATTGGTGGGAATGTGAACTGGTGCAGCCACTCTGGAAAACTGTGTGGAGGTTCCTCAAAGAATTAAAAATAGACCTGCCCTATGACCCAGCAATTGCACTGTTAGGGATTTACCCCGAAGATTCAGATGCAATGAAACGCCGGGGCACCTGCACCCCGATGTTTCTAGCAGCCATGTCCACAATAGCCAAACTGTGGAAGGAGCCTCGGTGCCCATCGAAAGATGAATGGATAAAGAAGATGTGGTTTATGTATACAATGGAATATTACTCAGCCATTAGAAACAACAAATACCCACCATTTGCTTCAACGTGGATGGAACTGGAGGGTATTATGCTGAGTGAAGTAAGTCAATCGGAGAAGGACAAACAGTGTATGTTCTCACTCATTTGGGGAATATGAATAATAGTGAAGGGGAATATAAGGGAAGGGAGAAGAAATGTGTGGGAGATATCAGAAAGGGAAACAGAACATAAAGACTTCTAACTCTGGGAAATGAACTAGGGGTGGTGGAAGAGGAGGAGGGCGGGGGGTGGGGGTGAATGGGTGACGGGCACGGAGGGGGACACTTGACGGGATGAGCACTGGGTGTTATTCTGTATGTTGGTAAGTTGAACACCAATAAAAATTAATTTATAAAAAAAAAAAAAAGAAAGTATACATATGAACACTATGCCTATCCATCATGCACACATAATACTTGTGGACCCACTAGGCATAAGAGTTCAGCAGTACTCAAAGCAAGTGCAAGTTAAGCATGTTACATATATAACTGAATAAGCAGGGGTACAGACAGTTCTAAGAGACCAGCTATTCCGTTTTAACCAGAACTTGCTTCAAAAGCAGAAAGTAAGCAATGGAGTTCTAAGAACACACATGACTAAGAAATATAATCATATCCATTCTTATGCATGTTACTTCCTTGTATCAGCCAACTAAATATGCTAAAAATAGCATATAAGAATACAGAAAGATAGAACAAACCATAGTTAACTCCTTTTTCAGTCTTCCCTTACGAATAAGCTGAAGACAGAATGTTAATAGAATGCATGTGTTCAAGAAGTGAATAAAAATAGTTCATTTAGTTTTGTGTAGCATTTCCACTGTTCTGGTAAGAACAAAATCCATATCATACACAAATTATGCACTTTTAGTGATTCTGCATATGAGTTAAATGCTCACACAGCCGCATTAAAACTGGCAGGAATATAAAAATGAATGGCAAGATTTGTAAGTTTTCCCTATAGAATAACAATTAGCAAATTAAAAAAAATCACCATGACAAGCTAAAATAGCAGAAAAAATTAAAAAGCCTTGTAGTTTAGTACTTTTAATGTCTTCTTTCCTGTTTTTCAAATAAGGGGCCTCGCATTTTTATATTTTGTCCTGGACAAAATGTACAAGCTATGTAGCTAGGAATGTCCACAGAATTTTGAAAACCCTAAAATGTAGCAACAACTCCAGGTAAGAAAAAAATGAGTGCCCTTGGCTGAAAAGTATTGCTTGCTGTCTGAGTCATCTCTTCAGCCTACCCCTTCCTCCACACATCTATAACCAGATCAATTTTTCAGTTTTGAAGATAAAGTGGCTAACAGGGACTGTTATTCACTTATTCAATAAATCAATTAATAAAGCAAAAAATTACATAGCTGAAACTAGAACAGTTTCTGGAACTGTTAACTCTCTGGGGCAGTTAATAGCATAATCTGGGAATGCAAACTCTGGAGGAAGTTCAAAATTCATGGCAAAAGAGAGGGAGGTATGAATACCAAGTAGTAGTGGCCAGAGATCAAACAAGTGTTGCAGAAGATTCTTATTATTTCAAAGGAAGGACTTTTCCCCCCTGCTTTTCTTGGATTGGACAGACAAATGACATCTACTTTTACTGAGAATTCTCAAATACATCATTAAATATAGTCATAAAGGCCTGGATTTCCACTTTTGGGAAAACAGAATAGACATTTTTCCCCTATCCCTCCCAGAAAAACTCTGATCATTATACATAAACAAACATAAGAAGACCGTAAAGGTAGTGAGAAGAATAGACAGGCTAGGGACCTCAGGACACCTGTGGTACATGGTGGTGAGTTCCTTGGATTTTCTTCTTGCCTCATATATAGCAGCCTTGAAAATAAAGAAGCTGGCAACCCAGAAACACCAATGAATGAAGACAAAGACAAACAGACAACAAAACCTGCTTTTTCTAGCCAAAGAACTAGGAAAGGACAAACTAACAAGACTATAAACTTTTAGACACTAATTTCCCTAAACTATATCAAAAATCATGGGGAAAAAAACTATAGACCCATTTCTATCCATGCCAACAAAGTCTGACTTTAACCTTTGCCAGGCAGTGATGAGAAACCACAGCCCTCCATCCAGATTGGTGGCATGGGAGACCAGGAGGAAAGTTGAGACATTCATTTCTATCAGACACTAACAAGAAATGGAGACCAGGTGGGGAGCCTTCACCCTCATCTGACAGTTACAAGATATCTTACCCTATTTTCACTTGGGTTATATCAAAGTAGGCCTAATGAAGAATAAGGACTTCACCACCACCCAATACTAGCAAAGCTACCCTTCATTCTCCCCCAACAACAGACTAGTGGAGAGCTGGGACTTCACCTTCAGTCAGCAATAATGAGGAATCCCCCTCCCAACAGAGGACAAATGTGGAATGTGGACTTCTGTCTTCACCTAGCAATAACAAAAGCAGTACATTCTTTTCCCCTTTTAGAAGAAGGTTATGGAAGCCAGCTAAAGTGGAAAGTTTAAGGAAGAACTACCATCTCATAAAAGCAATACCAAAAAGAAATTTCCAGTCAAAATCAAAATGTGTTATGCAAAAAAACAGAAAGATTTCATGTTGAAATGAAAAATACAATCATAGGTGTCAATACAAGATAATTGAGATGTTAGAATTATTTGGCAAAGAAAAGCATCCATCACAAAAATCCTTCAATAAGCAATTATGAATATACTTGAAATAATGAAAAGAAATTGAAAGTCTCAAAAAAGAAGCAGAAAGTCTCAGTGAATAAAAGACATAACAAAGAATCAAATGGAAATTTTAGAACTGAAAAATATATAACTGCAATAAAAAACTTAAGGAATGGGTCCAGAAGCAGAAGTGGGGGCATAGGGCAGGACAAAGGAAACAATCAATAAACTTGAAGACCGAGAAATCAGCCAATTTGGAGGGCCAAGAGAAAACAGACTGGAAGGGGAAAGAAAGTATAGCATCAGGGACCTGTGCTATTGAAGTTCCAAAAAGAGAGGAAAAAGATGACAGGGCAGAAAATTTATTGAAAGCATAATAGGTGAAAATCTTTCAAATTTGGCAAAAGACATAAACCTAGAGAAGCTGAACAAACCCTATACATGAAAAACTCAAAGAAATTCATGCCAAGACAAATCACAATCAAAATTCTGAAAGCTAAAGACAAAGAAAACATTTGAAAACCATGAGAGAACATCTTATGTCTATAGTGGAAAACAATCTGAATGACAGGGAATTTCTCATCAGAAACCATGGAGGTCAGGAAATGTAGAGTAATATTTTATAAGACTGAAAAGGAAACGAATCTTAAGTACTATATCCAGTCACCACCTTCAGGAATGAAGAGAAAATCAAAACATGCTCAGCTGTCCTGAAAGGAAGGAAAACTGAAAGGGTCTGGCATCAGCATACTTTCTTTAAAAAATAAAAAGGAAAAAAAAAATAAAAAGGAAACAGAAAGGAAAACAATAAAATAATGAGTGTCGGAGGATCAGAAAGGAAAAACAGAGTAAGTAAAAATATAGGTAGCTTAAACAGACTTTCTTCTGCTCTTGAGAATTGTCCTGTGATTCCAGATGTATGTAGAAGAAATGTTTAAGGCAATTATATTATAAACAGAGAAGGGTAACAGGATGCAAATAGAAGTTTCTGCACTTAACTTGAATTAATAAAACGACAACAACAGGTCATCAAGATAAAGGCCATCAAAAACAAGGGAAGTCTGAAAAACTGTCACAGCCAAGAAAAGTTTGAGGAGATACGCAAGTTAGATAGAATATGGTGTCTTAAATGGTATTCCAGAACAGAAAAAGGTCAGTATGTCAAAACTAA